CAACTCTTATCACAATCCATACATACATCAATTGTGTAAAGCACATTTGTACATTCATTGCCCTCATCATTTTCAAAACATTTTCTCTCCACTTAAGCCCCTGTATCAGCTCCTCATTTTTCCCTCTCCCTCCCCGCTACCCCTCCCTCACGAACCCTTGATAAATTAAAATTTTGTCATATCTTACACTGTCCAACGTCTCCCTTCACACACTTCTCTTGTCCATCCCCCAGGGAGGAGTTTATATGTAGACCCTTATAATCTGTTCCCCATTTCCACCCACCCTCCCTCCACCCTTCCGGCATCGTCACCCTCACCACTGGTTCTGAAGGGATCATCCACCCTGGATTCCCTGTGTTTCCAGGTCCTGTCTGTACCAGTGTACATCCTCTGGTCTACAGATTTGTAAGGTAGAATTGGGATCATAATAGGGGGTGGGAGGGAAGCATTCAGGAACTAGAGGAAAGTTGTGTGTTTCATCGTTGTTACACTGCACCCTGACTGGCTCATCTCCTCCTCAAGACCCTTCTGTAAGGGGATGCCCAATTGCCTACAGACGGGCTTTGAGTTTTCACTCCGCACTCCCCCTCATTCACAATGATGTGATTTTTTGTTCTGATGATGCCTGACAACTGATCCCTTTGACACTTCGTGATTGCACAGGCTTTTCCCTGCATCATTCAGTATTTTGTCCATAGACTCCTTCAATATTATAACCAAGGCTTGAATTTTTCTTCAGGTTTTCAGCTTAAGGTATGTTGGGTACCCTTTCCCTCTGGTTTTCTGACTCTAGGTCTTGCACATTTCATTATCACATTTTACGTTGTATTCTCAGGCTGCTCTTTGAAATTTTCTGTTCAACTCTTTGACTTCATCATTTCTTCCATTTACCTTACATCCTCTATGATTAAGAGCAAGTTTTAGGGTCTCTTCTAGCACCCATTTAGATCTTTTCTTTCTTGTCTTTCAGTGACCTTTCCCTGTATTCATGAAGATGGTCTTGATGTTGTCCCACAGCTCTTCAGGTCTTCTGTCCTTGGTGTTCAGTCCATCTGTCTTTGAGAACGCCTCGAAATCCAGTGGGATAGCCTCGAGTTTGTATTTTGGTCCTTGTGGACGTAGTTTTTTCAGCTTCAGTTTAACTCGGTGCTAGGTCTATCATAATACTCTGATACTTGAACATACTTTTTTACGCGTGAGGATCTTTTCCTCAACTGACTGTGTTAAGTAGGGACTCTGTCTTTGATCTTGGCTTAGTTTTTTAATGGCAAGCGCAAGATTGTTATGTCGAGTCAATTCTCACTCAGATGCCCCAGGATGACAGTAGAATTGCCTTATAGACTGTAATCTGTGTGGGGGAAAATGGCCAGGTTTTCCCCCTATGGAATGAGTAGTACGTTCAAACTACCACCTTTTTAGTCAGTAGCAAATACTTAATTGTTGTACTACCAGGGCCCCTTTAGGATACTACTCCCTTACCATCTCCCATTGTTATTAACTGTGGTTGTCACATAGCTAGTCAATAATATGTTGAGGCATAACTTTGGATTTGTGATTGATGCCGGGCACAAATGTGTCAAGCACTAAATTTGGCTTTGTTTCTACCTTAGTGGTAATTGCATGATATATGTACAGTGCTGGAGAATGATGGCCTTAACATTTTTTGGAAACTTCGTTTGTATGAGCTATCAGTTTTCTTTTTTTTTTTTAAATCATTTTATTAGGGGCTCTTACAACTCTTACCACAATCCATACATACATCAATTGTGTAAAGCGCATTTGTACATTCATTGCCC